TCATGAAGAAATCCCAAAGTGACGTCATTGTTCTCGATTGACAACAGAAAACTCAATAAAACATAGCTATAATTACCAATTAGCTAAATGATAAGGTACTGGCAATTTACTGCAAAAATCAGCCATGAAAATGTTTTAATACAAATATAAATGAAAGTCAACAATATACATCACTCTGTATCAGAGAAGAGACATATTTGAAGTGATCTTCCTTTCGATGTGAGCTCTGATCTTGATTTCATGTTGACGTCTTCCTTTGAATGATATTGAGATTATATCCATCCAAAAAGAAACACATGGTGTAAACAGACTATAAATCATTTCTTATTCTCCATGAAGCACCAATAAATCTTAAGATATCAGATACGAGCTGAGCCAAAATCAGTTATTCAATAAAGCGTCTTATAGAAATGATTGTTTCTCTACCAAGCGAAGATAGTGCGTGCTTTATGCGATTAATTCAATGTTTTATAGACGTTGATCAACATCATCCTTTTTATAGGCATTTATTTGAGTTCTCCTGATTTGTGCCTGAATTTATATTGTTTAGAGAGACACAATGGTCGTCACACTTTATGTTCATTTCTTCAGATTTACTACTGTGAGTATTAGGTTCACTTTATCAAAGGAACCATTTATCTGACTGATATAAGAATTCACAAACAAAAACTACAAAATGTAAACACGACACAAATGTGCATTACCATTCGAATCAATGCAAATTTGCGTGTTGCTCTAGGTCACATAATAACAACATTCTCATTGTTTGAGACATGAAATACATAATTACTTTTGAAGTGATAGCAAATCCAGGCATTGATTATTTAACATGGATGGGTAAATTGTTGTCGGAAAAGACTGTACGTCTGCTTCACAAGATACCTTTATTGTTTCAGAGAAAGTTTCGTGTTTTCATCAGGTCATTACATGGACCAAACAGCTGATCTATAATAGTTTGACATTGCATGAAAAGACCACACCTAAAACACTACGTGATATAAATACTATACTATTGTCGTTTCAGACATGAAAAATGTAATTTCATTGATTGTAACTGCAAAATACGATCAAATACCCAGTTTTAATGAACACATAACCGGTGCATCAGGAAAAATGACTTCGGCTGGTCTCATAAGCAAAGTGATACTGAAAACAGATTTTACTGTTAAGACAATGCTTAATCAGGGTCACGGAAATAGAGCATTCATGGCACAACGGCGCTTAGAACATACTTGTATTCCTTCAGTGACTTAAAAAGCTGATATTTGTACCATACTATATTGCAAGCGTTAAACTAACAGGCATTCAAATGAAAAAGTCACTTTTGACGTTTTGAAAATATAAATTAACATCCTAAATGATTTAAAGCTAACTCAAACTTTCATGAATACTCAAATTGACAAGGATTACACTTGGAACAGAAATGCTTAAGTTAATTGCTATTCTTATAACAATAAACAAAACGTTTACCTCATTATTTAACAGTCATCCGTATTTAATTGAATCTGAGATTTTCTTGTGGATTTATTGGACCGAGCCTTGGTGGGCACATCATCACTCACTGGGAAATCCAGGTACATGCAGTGACGAGTCCCAAATGGGAAGAAATGAGCATTCTCGATTTCACTGCTTGCCACCATCCACAAATTAAGATAATCCGTATTATTTACTGATGTAATCAAGCTAAAATATTCTCAGTGGAATAGCAGCTGAAATATATTTTGGAATACATGGACGATTTCATCATGAGCCGATATCAGTTAGAGAGCCACTGGAAAAACTTGGAGTACTGGACAGCTGTTTCGTACCTAGCCTGTCATATGCTCTGATGGTGTTCTCGTGACTTTTGTTGCCAGATCTGCTAAGGGCGATGGGATAGTACGTGACCTAGAGGTTATGTGCAAGGTTTGAAGAAGGTTGTCTGCTATATGCATGCGCCTCGCTATGATTATGTTTAGGACGAAACAGCTGTCCAGTACTCTCAGGTTTTCGAGTGGCTCTCTAACTGATGTCAGCTCATGATGGAATCCTCCATGCAATCAAGCAAATAATCCCTCCAAAACCAATTCATGGAAATTTTGAATTTTACTTTGATCGAATGCATTTTTATCGAGACTCTGAGTTACACCGAAATACCAGCCATTGGTACAGCCGTCAAAGGAGGTTGTGAGAATTATATGATTTTATCTCTATATCCAGGGCAAATTTCACGACTCGAGTTTTGCTTTATTTTATATCCTCATCCAAATTCCAAGTTGGTGATAATGTACATATATATGTATATTAGGTGTATTTGTTAAAAAATTAATGTGATTTGCACGACTAGTAATATGCCTACCACTTTTAAGGCAGTGAAAACTAACACCATTTCAGCTTTCTTGGTTTTACGCAAGTTTCTCATCATTCTGCAGTCATCAGCGAAGTCAAGCGCCTTAAAAATTTCATCTCCATCCAATTTGAGTATAACTGAACGTCTTTTGGTAATCATCGCGTTGTTATAGTGTACGGACAACTTGGACTAAAACATCCACTGTGTGAACTCTACGATGTGACTCCATTAAATCGCAAAAATTAAATTCCCTGTATGGATTAAAGTCAAAAGTGAAGGTTCAGTTGAACAGTCCGTCATTGCAAAAATGATAAAAATGCAATGTTTCAGTCCAGTAAACAGGAGAGCGTTACCACTTCTACAAATTACCGAGCAACTACTGCTGAAGAAAATACCTAAATAACACTGGTACTTTTATGTTAATCAGATCTGCTTCTACAACGTACATGATTTCTAGTCTAACATATGTTGGAAATCATAAAAGGATTTGCTGAATGGACTCGCTATTCAGAATATTGTATTGTCATGGCGATATTTTCTCAAGGGCTTCAAACACCTCATGTAATCCTAAGTAACTTCTGAAATCAATGCATGAGACTGTGAAGTTACATCAGTTGAGATGTTTATGATATGTGTTACACATTTCTGGCCCTCGCCTTCCTTGAAAGACAATGTTAACTGACATAGGGTCAGGTTGTAAAAAAGTCAGTGGTTTTCAAAACAAAACATGAAATTCACAACAGGTAGTTTGTCATGTTGGAAGATGTAAACTTCCTGACTGGTTGAGGTCCTCAGGACGATAAACACCGATCACTGGAGACAATCGGTGATATGGCTGGCTCGAAATCGTTCTCAATGGCTGGAGCGGTTGCATCCACTCCTTGTGACCTATAGCACCGAATGAAACTATATTGTTCTTTGATATTACTATTCTTTTTTCCCCATAACTCACTTCCCTGTCTCTATTTTGTATTCCTTTTTACTTTCTTCTTCTCTGGATTTGTGTACTGAGTGAAGTGTGGCGACTTGAACTGCTGACCACTGGTGCAAAATTCTATGTTGAAACCAGTCAATCAGGAAACCATGTTTAATACAAAGGATATGCAGGGGAAATAGATAGAATTTGTAAGAATCACATGGTAATGTGTGCACGCAGTTGCTTACTCGAGAATGTCTCAGATTAAAAATCATCAGTTCAATAGTTACTTTTCTACGGACTATTGAATAAAATACTAACTTGACTCTTCAAAAAAATAAAATGCGTATGACTGAAGTTGACCGTCCAACGTTTGGTCTGAGTCAGTTAAAATTCACAAAAATGTAAAAAATTGCTATGGCTCATTTCAACCTTCTGTTTTTGAGGTAGCAGGAATAATGGAGGCAGTGGATAATTGATTACGATGAAACAATTAGACACAGACATGTAATCGATTAAATAAAACGTGTGTTAGTAAATATGATTTCTCAAGAGAATAAAATCGATTATAATGACTCTGAAGATAACGTTTAGTTGAGGAGATCAAACATCTGATAGTTGCATGCATTTGATCATAGCACATAGATAATGTTCGTGTAACTGAAAATCACTAATGTGATAAGTGAGGGTAATCAAATAGTTATTTTTTTCTCTCACTCAATCCACTTGAAAGAAAATCATATGACTACACAGAATGTCTTTTTAGTAATATACACATCTTAAATAGTTTTAATTCATTGAATTTGGTGTACATATTTGGTGAGTCATTTCAACACAGGTCAATAGATTACAGTCTAGTTGGTAAAACCTGCGAATTCTTCTAGATGCACAACACTTACGTACTATTCTGTTCAATATCGATTTTTACTGTATATCCATTATCAGCCGGAAACATTTGGCACATGTTTTTTGTTTGTTGTTACTTCTTAGCAAGACGTATCTGCAATCTTCAGGTTAAGCACACGTCTCTGAATTCTGAAGTTAGAGGCATTTTCGCTGAGCTATTCATAAAACTATACTGGTAAATCCTCTTAAGGGTTATTTATATTTTATGCATGACATTAATCCCTTTCATCGAAACGGATGATTAATTCAGAAGACCTTCAAAGAATCTTTTCATATTATTCTATCGTGTGGCAAATGAACACCGAAATTCTATCTGAAGTGTAACTTGTTGGTCGAATAACTGACTTTATGAAAACAGTTTTCATCTTATAGAACGCACTCTGCAGTAGTTCCCAAGTAAATATAGCTTCAGTATTTCATAGGAAAGGCATTTATTCACATCCTCCTTATGTGTAACTGGATTTCTGTCACACTAAAAGATACAATGGATTTCTACGAATTGTCCACTGTTTCAGGGCTGTCATTGTGCGTTTTCAGATCATTCTGTTTTAGAAAACAAAAGATATTTATAACCAGTGAATTTAAAAGGAATCGATTATGGTAATTCAATTATAACTTCCAGTGATATAATAACTGGACCGTCGTTGTTTCAGGCATGAAACACTTAAGAAATTCCATAATTTGTGTCTGAGCTGTTATTGGATGAAAAAACACTGATACGCAAAATAGTATGCTAACTTCTCTCTCAGTTGACGAAAATAGTCACTGTTAACCTCATGAGTGCACGAATATTTAAGAAATAGAGAGAGGAAGAAAGCAATGGATTACATGATTATTATATTAATGATGAAGCAGTCAACAGTTTTGCAAAAGTTAATTTTTCATATGCGGTGAATAACAGTATTTTCACTGTGACCTGTAAGGAAAAAAGATAATGAAAATAAATTTCATGCACATTAGAGTAGCTTTAATTTATAGACTATGTGTACTCACTCTCAACAAATAAGATTATTGCTCATCAATTGATGAAAATCTCGTAATACATTTGTATTCATCTACTTACATAAAAACAAGCTATTACTTAGATGATGTCACAGTTTTAATATGATGGCGCTGGGCTGTCGTATCGAAAACTGCCATGGGACTTCTTTTACCAGATATAAATGTATTGCTGAATCTTCAATGATCACATGAAATTCTATGTCTCGTGAGAAAGTTAACATTTTTCGAGTGCCTTTTATATGGATTACCACTGAAAGTTGACTGGAGAAACAATCACCCAATCTTAACAATAAAGATAATTACTTCATCGTTCAACAAGCCTCCGTGTTATTCAATGTGATAAGAAGTGTAATAAGAATAGCAGTTGTCACACAGTTTGGAATAAACCAGTACTCAAATATTTCCGGTGTTATATATAAATGATTGTTTATTTATGATGCACCTATCCGGATAATAACAGCACCTATTTAGTGTCAATTGTCTTGACTAAACGCGATTCATTTTCACTCCAATGAAAATTATGAGAAACAAAGTAAAGAGATAAACTTACAAAATTACGAATCCTGTTATAAGGAATAATTAGTAAGTAGATGTTGAAAGACATACAGAAATCACATAACATAAAATATCTATGAAATTGATTGGGTTGCGTCTCACGTTCACTGTTGTCGTCTGCATTTCTATCAAGTGGTTAACATTTTTGGTGGAAATCAAAAGACGTTACTTTTATATTCTTCACCAGCACAGCAATGAAACATCTAATGTGATTAATTACTGCATAACATTTATGGATAATTGGTCTCATATTTATCGAATTCAGGTTTGAGCAAATCACAAAGAAACGCAAGCGTATTTGGGTTTTGTGATGATCATCCTGGGCCGGAATTCTCGGTCTCTGTAGACACACTGGTTTCTAGTACGGACACTTCGATAACGTCTGATTATTAAAGTGAAATCATTTTGGGTCGTGATGAATTGAAGTGGAATCCAGGAGGACCATTTCATTCAGTTCAGGAATCATCTGATAGATTTACATACATCCCTAACATTTAGACATCGCTCATCAGGAGTGATACTCCAACTGCCATACATTTAACCTGAACAGATTTCAGGAGCATACAGTTCGCAATATACAAACATAAAAACAAAATCAGCTATGCATAAGAAGAATATCTCGCCATGTACTAACAAAGATCTATGGTCAACAGAGTATCACCAGACAATACAATAAGTGTAAGGAAACTTACTGATAACTCACTCAGTGAATTCAAACTTGTTTAATTCAAGCTAGTCACTTGTGAATTTTTTCGACACCTATATATGCATCCTTTCCCCATTTCTCACCTCATATTGAAATGTAACTGACAGGCATTCTGTTTCTATAGTACCAACTTGACTTCCATAGAGGGACATTTACTATTAAAATTATGACAGTTTGACTAACATCGAAATGTGGGATATTTAGTGCGTTTTAACAAGGACATGCAAACGATTCAGAATCCATCGAATGAGAGATCGGATTCCAGTAAACATGAACAGGTTGATTCGTTAAACATCATTCTAAGGAAGACATGTGTTTATTCAGAGAAGTTTGAAAAGTTACTGTGTGAGGAAATAACAATCCAACGGAACAGAGTAAATGTGGTTATTAATCATTCACATGGTTTGATATAAATATATACATTACTATGACGAACCAGCGTAACATAATTCATAGATAGAAAGTGTGCCACGTAATTGTAGGACATCTCCCTACAAATAGGAGACTATTACAGATATTACACCACTATAATTTCATGCTTAAGGAGGTTTACTTGCTAAGACTTCATTGTCAAATTTATTTCAAGATGAAGTAACTATTTTTTTTAAAAACTTATGCTTAAATTTTCAGCTCGCTTTCATCGTGTTACGTGTTGAGCAACCTTAATGGGAGAAAGACGTTAACGTGGCACATATTTCATTTCCAAACTCAAATAAGTAACCCTACCTTCAATCTTCATTCGAAGGAGTACATTTCATGAAAATGTTTGATCGGAACAGTAATAATAAACAAGACATGTATTCATATAAGAGGCTCCTTGGGGCGAATCCGTTTTCTCTAGATGTACAGTCACATTTATGTACAGTTGATTTTACTTAGAAGGGTAGTAACAAAAGTGAAGAAGAGCAATTAACATGGCTGAATATCATTCATTGTATAAAAAGGGGTTGAATCAGCACACTACAGTTATGTAGTAGGGTGAATCATTTAATGGATAAATTTATAGTCTCAATTTTGATTAGTGTGTTTCTTCGTTTTTCTAACTCTTTATAGCTCTTACACAATTCTATATTTTTCTTCGTTTCTATGGACATACTGATTACAGAGTATTCGTTATGACTATTCATCCGATTAAGAAAGTGTGTTCGTGACAATCGATCGCTATCATAACTACCATTTTTCATTGAAAAGGGATTGTATATAAATGGTATATAAATGCGGTCAATAGTTGAAATGGATACATCGAAAACAACCTCTTTGCTGAAGTCCATATTTCAGTCATTGTATCTCAAGGAGTATGTTACTGTCATCTGGATCAGCTTGCGTAAATAGTACTCAAATTCATACAATCCGACAAGAACAAGAGAAATTCTCGAAGCATATAAGCTTTATAGGTCCAACACAGGTGTGGTAAAAAATCCATACAAATCGTTGATTAGTAGGACTTACGTTCTACTATTCTTTGCCCTCCTTTGAAGTGAATAGGCAAGAATAATAGTCCAAATAACTATTCTTATCTACTTAATCAAGCAGTCAACACTTTAATATAATAATGTTATATAAATTCATTTTGTCGAAACGACAATAATTTGAACTTCAGTGACGCTGTTTTGCATCTCAAAGTATGACTGATATGTGAAATGAACTAAATTTATAGTTTGTCACTTAAATAGTGTTAGGAAGAGGCAAAACATGCAATTATCAGGTCATTATCATGTCTCAGTCAAGTTATTAGCGTGTCGTTGACATGCATTTGTTTCTGCTTTCTGATTGGACGCTTGCACAATTCCAAACTCTCAACCAGATTGGTTGATTTCCAGTCTACCTTATTTTTGTATAAATACAGTCACTTTTGTCATAATAAATGATTCTGGTTTTACCGCTGGTTATCGCGTGTTCAGCTTTACCAGTTAAGTGAGCACTGGTCAGTAGTTAAGCAATTACCTCGAGACAAAGATCCAGCATCATAACAATTGCCGACGGGATTTCGAATCCTTTGCAGTTCAATGCAGTCAAATAAAACCCAGATCATCCAATGTGCATCCAACCTGTCTTCCAAATGACAATTTCATTTGAACAAATGCAACTTCTCCTTCATCAACAACAGAAAAACGTTTGAAGCTTGCCAGCTCAGCTTGAGTGAAAAACTTACAAAGCAGTTTTCATTTCAAACCCAGAGAAAACCGAATCTATTGGGAGTTCAGTTGTAGAGTTCAATTTCAAACCTTCAACAGGCGTGACGTTTGAAGCTTGGCTTCGACGTTATGAAGATCTGTTCCGGGTTGAACGCGCTCACTTATATGATTCGGCCAAAGTGAGACTACTCCTTCGGAAACTTGGTCCAGCCGAACATAACAAATATGTCAATCATATTCTACCAAAGAACTCCAGAGAACTCAACTGTGAAGAAACCATTCAAACGTTAACCAATATTTTCGGTGAACAGTTATCTCTCTTCAGTATCCGTTACAATTGTTTCAAGATATCCAAAGATCCAGGAGATGATATTCTCACCTATGCTGGTAAGGTGAATCGTGAATGCGAGCGATCGAAAATTCGATCATTTACGGGTGACTAGTTTAAATGCCTGATCTTTGTCTGCGGTCTCAAATCTTCAGTTGACAGTGATATTCGTACCCGAATCCTTGCAGAGATTGAACGCAAACCGGACACGACTTTACAGGAGGTTACTGCTGAGTGCCAGCGAATCATCAATCTGAAGCATGGCACGAAGTTGATTGAGGACGGTCAAGTTCATGAATTTACTTCTGCTCAGGCTGTCAAGTCAAACAATTCTCTGCAAGTCAAACACAAGCCTCCCACAAACTGTTGGTTTTGTGGTTCGTGGCATTTTGGTAAATTTTGCCCGTATAAAAGACATAAATGCAGTATCTGTAAAAAGTATGGTCACAAGGAAGGATTTTGTCCCCCAGTGAAACCTATATCAACCCGATCTCACAATACGATGGCACAGTCACGAAAGTTTCGACCTCGGTCGACGAAACCTCAAATCAGCAGTATGTGCGCTACCTTCAAAGTTGACTTCGAGTCAAAAAGAAAGTTTGTCACACTTTCTATCAACCAGAAGCCAGTTCGACTACAGTTAGATACTGCTTCTGATATCACAATCATATCTCCCCAGACGTAGAGGGCACTCAGGTGTCCACCTTATCAGAGAACGAAGCAAGAAACGCGTCGGGTGACGTAATGAAATTATCTGGCCAGATTGAATGCGACGTAACTTTCCGGTCGACCTCGTTCCAAGGAACATGCTATATCACCAATCGTCATGATTTGAACTTGCTTGGTATTGAATGGTTCAAAAAGATGAAACTCTGGGATGTCCCACTGAACTCAGTTTGTTCCAATATACAGTGCTGAGATAGTCCTACCAACATGTTGATGCATCCGAACTCGACCACAAAGTTCATCAATCATCTTCGCATAAAACCAGTTTTTAGACCAAAACGCCCAGTACCGTATGCCGCATTATCGTCCCTTGATGCAGAGCTGGATCGTTTAGAAAAGTTGAACGTAATCAAGCCAGTCGATTACTCATCCTGGGCAGCCCCATAGTGGTTGTCAAGAAAGCAAACGGTACCATCAGACTTTGTGCTGATTTCTCAACAGGACTCAATAATGCCCTTGAAGATCAACCGTATCCACTACCAGTACCGCAAGATCTATTTGTCAAACTGAATGGCGGTAAATACTTCAGTAAACTTGATCTAGCTGAGGCATACCTACAGATCGAGGTCGAAGATGATTCTAAAGAGCTTCTGACAATCAACACTCACAAAGGACTGTATCAGTTCCAGCGACTTCCATATGGTGTTAAACCTGCTCCTGCTATATTCCAACAGATAATGGATGCAATATTAGCTGGTGTATCGGGAGTGGCCGTTTACCTCGATGATATCATAGTCACAGGAGAAACTCAATTCGAACTCTTCAATCGGTTGGATAAAGTCCTGACAATACTCAGTGATTCCGGTTTCCATTTACGTCCGGATAAGTGCAATTTTTTCATGACTTCAGTGAAGTACCTGGGATTCATTTTTGACAAAGATGGTCGCAAACCCGACCCCTCCAGTGTGTCAGCAATTCAACAGATGCCTGCCCCTAATAATCTCAGTACGTTGCAGTCCTTCCTGGGGATGATCAGTTACTATAGTGCGTTCCTGCCAGATTTACATCGTCTCAGGGCCCCAATGAATCAGTTGCTCATGAAGAATGCTAAATGGAACTGGTCAGAAGAATGCCAACAAGCTTTCATCAAGGTCAAGAAATTACTCCAGTCTGACCTGCTGTTAACACATTACAATCCAAAGCTGGATATAACATTAGCTGCAGATGCGTCCAACTATGGTATTGGCGCTGTCATTTCACATGTGTTTCCAGACGGTGTTGAAAAGCCAATAGCATATGCATCGCGAACCTTGACAAAGGTAGAGCAGAATTACAGTCAGGTCGAAAAGGAAGGATTAGCGCTCGTGTTTGGGATTCAAAAGTTCCACAAAATGCTGCTTGGCCGAAAGTTCACACTTTTTACTGATCACAAACCACTATTATCGATTTTTGGCTCCAAGAAAGGTATTCCAGTCTATACAGCCAATCGACTCCAACGATGGGCGACTATGCTACTAGGATACGACTTTCAGATCAAGTACAAATCTACAAAAGATTTCGGGAATGCAGATGTCCTCTCGCGTTTACTCAGCTATAACAAGCCCGCAAAGGAGGACGCTGTGATCGCCGGCGTTTCTGTCGATGAAGACGTGTGCCACGTATTGATGACGGCAATAAACACTTTACCTGTCTCAGCCGACATGGTTCAACGAGAGACGCAGCGTGACCCGACATTACAGTCAGTTCAACAGTATCTGCGTTGTGGCTGGCCCTCGCGTATTGATTGTCCAGATTTAAAACAGTTCTATCAACGACGACATTCGTTATCCCTGGTCAATGACTGCATTATGTTTGGCGAACGTGTGGTCGTGCCTCGAAGTCTCCAACAAAAAGTCATGAGTCAACTACATTTTACGCATCCTGGTATTGGCCGTATGAAATCGTTGGCACGCTGTTACGTCTACTGGCCAAATATCGATCGTGAATTAGAAGTGATGGTTCGCTCATGTTCTCGCTGTGCTCAGGCTTTGAAAATGCCTATCAAGACAGACCTACAGCCGTGGCCCAACCCAGGAAAACCGTGGTCAAGAATCCACATAGATTTTGCCGGCCCAATCAATGGCAAACAGTTTCTCGTGGTAATCGACGCGTATTCCAAGTGGCCGGAGGTTTTCATTATGCAAAATACCACAGTGACGATAACATTAAATAAGTTGGTTCAGCTTTTCAGCAGATTTGGTGTTCCAGAGATCATCGTTTCCGATAACGGACCTCAGTTTACAGCTGAACAATTCAAACAGTTTTGTGAGCGGCTAGGTGTTCAGCATATTCGCAGCCCGCCTTACCATCCTCAGTCAAATGGACAAGCAGAGCGTTTTGTTGATACACTCAAGCGCGCACTTCAGAAGTCAAACGGGGAGGGATCGATAGAGGATGTATTGCACAATTTCCTCTTCATTTATCGAACCACAACCAACCCATCATGCCCAAATCAAACATCTCCCGCAGAAGTTATGTTTGGAAGAAGATTACGTACTACTTTGGATACAATTATCCCGATCCCATCAAGACGGAGCAAATGTGGTCGAAATAGTGAATTTTGGTTCAATAGACGTCATGGCACCAAGCAAAGAAGTTTCATGGTTGGTCAGTCGGTACTGGTTCGTGATTACATACGGAGAGATCGCCCATGGGTTTCTGGAGTGATCGTTGGAAGAAAAGGCCAAGTCATTTACAAGGTCAAGGTTGGAGACCTTATTTGGGTCAGGCATGCCAATCAAATAAGAAATAGACTAGTTGGTAAACAGTTGAACGATTCCAAGTCCGCCGACGTACAATTTGAGCTACTAATAGATACGACGGATCCGAAAACGTCACATGGCCAAAATAGTCGAAACAAAGGCAAAGTGTCCCAGCAGCCAAGGAGATCACAACGACAACCAAGACCGCCAAAGTACCTACAAGTGATTCCGCGATACAAAAGCTACCGGTAGCCCTATCTTAAAAGGGGAGGTGTTAGGAAGAGGCAAAACATGCAATTATCAGGTCATTATCATGTCTCAGTCAAGTTATTAGCGTGTCGTTGACATGCATTTGTTTCTGCTTTCTGATTGGACGCTTGCACAATTCCAAACTCTCAACCGGATTGGTTGATTTCCAGTCTACCTTATTTTTGTATAAATACAGTCACTTTTGTCATAATAAATGATTCTGGTTTTACCGCTGATTATTGCGTGTTCTGTTTTACCAGTTAAGTGGGCACTGGTCAGTAGTTAATCAATTACCTCGAGACAAAGATCTAGCATCGTGACGAATAGAAAAGAATTACATTTACGAGTTCTGACAAGAAATCTGTGTCATTCAACCTTTAGTAAAGCATGCATCAATAAACATATCGGCTTACCAACAAGTATGCATGATTTTCAATTTCTGAAACGAAATGTTGATTAAGTTCTTATTAGGGGCATCCTTCAGCTTCGTCATATTTCAATCGACTTTTTCCGATAATGTGTACACTATAGTGAGGGAGATGTTGCTGCTCGTTGCATCTCCACATAAAAATCACTAAGGTAATTTCAGTACATTCTCCGTGATAAAAAGTTACGATAAATCTTATGCAAAATGATTTTACAAACGTATACGAAATATTTTCCTTATTAGATGATATGTTAATATTTATAATATTGATTAATATGTTTATTACTATTCGTGAGAATAAAAATGGAAATGAACAGTCAGAGTATAAACTCCATGATTGAATTGAGAACCGTCAACTGATCTACAGAAACAAGACGCAGATCCTCCTTTCTAAGCAGTCACTATGAAAATAAATAGCATATCATATGCAGTTTTTTACTTGACGAGTGAATTTTACTTGAATCCCAATATAAACTGGAAGATTTCGTTTACTTCCAGTGAGACCAGTTTCTGTCGAAATTATTCTTCAAATGGACAATAAAAGCTGAGTAATTATAACCCTGAGTTGGTACAATGCAATCACACCGAAAATATCATATGCCGCGTTTCTTAAACCTTATAAAACGTAAAACTGGCTAAAATCTTGTTGAAGCTTACCCTTACACAACCAGGTTATGTTAAGCCATGAACCTTTGAAGTGTAAAAATATAACAAAGTATTTCAGAAGTACAAAATATGGAAATATAGTTTGATTCTAATGATATTGTTTGATAAGTTTCAAAATATTATCTATGAAAAATCGTAACCGTGATGGATTTGCCCTTATATGGCTGAAGCCACTTTTCAACGCCACGATGTTGACGGAAATCCTTTCTCCCGACTACTGAAGATATATAGACATCTGTTTCAGTTGACGAAAATAAGAATTCGTTTGATTTCTAGCATGTGTTTCTTAACTTCGAGATACTAAAACATAATCCAAAAAATACATCACTGTGTTTCTAAGCAAATCAATATTCGAACTAGTGGCAAATCGACATTCACTCAAATTGGAAGTTGATATAGAACAATGTAGAGACTTTCAATGGTTAACTTTTCAAATTCTGGAAAGCGAGACAATTTTAAAAATAATGCATTATTGGACAGGTGGTCAACGAATATTTTATGACACTGACTCAAGAGCAATCGCATTTGCACATACTGAGAGAGAAACGTTGCAAGGTGGAGAATTTTTACATGGATGTCATTCTACTGAGAGATTGCTAAATTCACGAGTCATTATTATTAACGCTTTCTCTGTGAAACTAAGAGCATGAGTTATTTTCATGAGTAAACCAAAAAACTGTTCTATGGGTTAAAAATTATCAGCGCATGAAATGAGTGAAAAGAAACAAATGTCCTTAATGCCGTCATTGTAGCTGGGAATGTCGAATAAAATTCCATTAATATGAAGAGGCCACACAGTTTATCGACATAAACTAATGAAAATGATTAAATTATGCTAACGATATCAAAATCAATTTATATAGCTTACAAATCCATGTAAAGAGCGCCGATGATTCGCATGATGGCAAATAAATGACATCTGAAAAAAGGTTGATAAATGTATATAAAATGCGGTGTTTATACAATGAAGAATGTGATGAAAGCAATATGTATCAGAGTCGGTGGACTTAACTCCCTGAAATTACGACAAAATTCTTGTATTTAGCAAACCATCAACTTATTCTTTGTATAAATAAACATTAACTTACAGAAGAGAAGTGACAAAAAGACTGTTAACCAAAGTCTGCTAAACATTTCTTTGCTCAAAAATTATATGACTTTACCACAAGACAAATGTGTATTGCCTTTATATAGCTTATTGTCTGATCGTGTATTGACAATAATTAAAGCACTGTGTATCTGTGTGACGTGAAACACACAAACGTAAATTGTTTCACACATGACTTGAGCATGTGTACAAGACAGACAGGTGAAATTTCGCAAAAAATACATTTGTGTGGTTGGTGAATTCATATTGCGTGTATCATCTGGCTCTGAGGTATACTTTTAATCAACTAAGAAAACGAATCCCTAGAGAACCTGAAAATAGAATCAGTATTTATATCTAATGTCAAACTGAAAGCGAAGCAGTAGCAGGTGCTCAGACAGCATAGTGCAGTTATCATGAATAATAAACTGTCAGGGTGTTCAGTTGCTTGAACGTACGTAATGGTCCAGTGGCTTCCAGTGTAGTAATATTATTCAAAGTTGGGCACGTGGTGTATAGATCACTGAATTTCCTCATCCTAAGGTTTGTCCAGGAATATTATTTTGGAGGAAGTTGTGAGTTTCCTGTTAGTTCCAAAAGATGTGACTGACATAAATAATGGTAACCAGTCACACACGCTCAATGTGTATACAGTGTGCAGGTGGATAGGTGTACATCTTATTTCAGCCCCGTAAAAACAAGCGTTAATGTATATAAATGTACTTAAATGCGTGTATACTTCTACATCGCTAGAATGATATATTGTTGAAATCCTCTGGCATCAGATAAATTCTTGCCACATTAATTCGTAAAAGCAATAAGTCGTTTAAGACTCATCAATGAAAATCGGTCAGAAGGAGGATGACTTGGTTTACGATTCTTATGGTATCCTTCTCAGTGAATAAATTCTCTTGAATATTTGACTCTACCAAAATATCCAAACAATTTTTAAAAGTCTTCGTTTGAAGTAAAACATGTTTTCCATTGATTTTCACATAATTCTTTAACACCTTATTATTATTATTATTGCTCCCTTAGGTTCCTGGTGGAACAAAGGGCTTCAACTGCACGCCTCCATTTGCTTCTGTCTTCTGACGTACTTTTCACGTGCATCCATGTTAGTCCATACTCTTTCAACTCGTCTTCACACGATCTCCTCCATGTTACCCTTGGACGTCCCACTCACCACTTAACCTTCATGTTCAACTCGATGGCTTGACGCGCGATGTCACCGAGCGGCCTCCGCAGCGAGTAGTGTCTAATCCATCCATCTTTACTTTCTCCTGCATATTTGTTGGTTGGCGATTGGTTCTTGTTTTCTTTGTTCCTATAGTTCCTTGTTGGTGATTCTTTCCGTCCCGGCCATCCGATCTTCAGGATAGAGAGAAGACAGTTGTTGATAAAGGTCTGCAACGGGCTGATTGAAAAATTCTTTGTGACCCGCCAGGTTTCTTATCCGTATAGAAAAACTGACTTGGCGTTTTTTAATGAAAATCCGAATTTTGTTGTTGATGCTGAATGACGAAGAAATGCAGATTGGTTTCAGGTGGATGAATGTGTTTCTCGCCTTCTCGATTCTCGCTCGATTTGACATCCTCGTCCGTTCCGACTGCATGTAGTTGAGACAATACTCCCTGGGTAAATGAATGAAGTAACCTCTTTTAAATCCCTTCCGTTGATGGTGATTGACACTGGATGTTGTTGCTGTTGTTATTGGTTGGTTATTTTCATGACATCCGTCTTGTCTATGTTTACCTGGAGTCCTGTCTTTGCTACTGTTTCGACCAGTTTGTCTGTTTTCGCTTGTAAGTTTTCGATTTTGTTTGACATCAAACATAAATCATCCACAGGCAAAACCCAGGTCTTCTAGGTTCTTCGCGTCGGTCCATGATATTCCTGTCTTCTCGTTTCCCACTGTCTGACGCATAATCCAGTCAGTCCACCACAATTAGAAATATCATTCGTGATAATAAGCAGGCAACATTGTCTGACTCCTGTGTTTACTCCAAACGCCTTGCTGAGTTGTCATACACCTGTTGAATAAGGTTGATGAATATTTGGGGTACGCCGTAGTACGCGAGTAATTTCCAAATCACTTCGCGATCAACGCTGTCGAAGGCCTTCTCGAAGTCTACAAAGTTGAGGTAGAGGTTTGATTGCCATTCCATGTTAGTTTGCTTATTAAATATATATCACACGATGAAACAGTATTAGTGGATGATGTTTCGAACAAAATTTATTGTTCATAATCATATCAATTGTAATTTCTCGACTTGAGTTTTATAGTTTTCTTTCTTTTCTCCTATTTGTCGTAGGGGTAGTAGAATTTTCCAGACGTCAGGGACAAATCAGAGAAAACAAAGTCGAGTGATTACAATAGATATGATTATGAACAATAAATTTTGTTCGAAACGTCATCCAGTAAATAAAACTTTCTCACTATGTGATATATGTAATAAACAAACTAATATGGAATCACTTAGTACCACAGTGCCCACGTTTAAAACATACATTAATGTGCCATTTCATGCTTTTTTCGATGATGATGCGTAGAGTTGCAATTTGGACAGTACATGATTTTCCTTTCCTGAATCCAGCTTGTTCTGGTCAGAGTTCTGTCTCCAGTGCGTCCTTTAATCTCTCCAGGATGATGCGACTCAGGATTTTACTTGGTGTCGACAGGAGAATGATTCCTCGCCAGTTCTCGCAGAGTCCTTAGTCTCCCTTCTTCGATAGTTTCATGAGGTAACCTTTCTGCCAGTCAGTAGGTACCTTTCCATCCTTCCAGACCTTTTGCAATAATGGAGTCAGCATATCTGCTGTAGTCTCTGGGTCCGCTTTTAGTGCTTCAGTGGGTTAACCATCTGGTGCAGCTACTTTTCCAGTCTATTTGATTTTTGGTGTTTCCATCTGATGAAATTCATATTGTCTTGTGTATATCCTTGTGTTTCAACACACTTCCACCAATCACCAAATCATTGAAGGCGCAAAAGTCTGAGAAGAGTTCACCATTGTCGTTCATTTCACCAAGGGCCTCACGACCCATGTTGAGTTCTCTTCCTGTGTTGCCTCCTCCCAGCTTCGCATTCACGTTGCCCATCAGGATTTTGATATCGCCATTTGAGACGTTGTCCATTACTGTTTGTAGTTGTCTGTAGAATGCCTGCTTCTTCTCTTGTTCTGAGACGTTTGTAGGCGCATAGCATTGGATAATTGTAAGCTTCCTTCCTTTTGAGTTGAACCTGGCTGTCATTATCCTGGAGGAGATTGGTTCCTACTGCATGAGAGCTTTGGCTGCTGTTGGTGACATAATGATGGCCACTCCCTCGATGTGCTCGTGGTTGCCCTCTGGGTGGCCGGAATAGAATATTATCTCCTCAATTGGTAGTTGGCACCTTCCAGTTTCGTTCCATCTGCTTTCGCAGATTCCCAACAATTCTAATCTGTACCTTCTCATTTCAGCGGCTATCCGGGTAGCCTTTCAAGTGTCGTACATTGTACGAAAATTCCACGTACCCATCCTTAATTTTGCTTTCATCGAAAGAAGGCACATCGGCTGACTGGCTTCCCGAAGGATTTCACCAGCCTGTGTCATTTTGCTTCTCCGATTCCAGCAAAAAATAAGGTTATTGTCTATGTTTTTAGAATTTTTAATATATTTATTCGTTGAGGTTTCTATAGCGATTTGGTTGTTTTACGGGGGTGGAGTTGCTAGCACCACGCCCCAACCCTCCCTCTTTACCCGGGTTTGAGACCGGCTGGAAAACTAAAAACCTAGTAGCCTAGCAAGCTAGTAATCTGCCTCGACAAATATGAGGAAAAATGTATTCGCAAATGCCTCCAAAACGGCGTAATCACAATATTCATAACTATTTGTGTGTCTTAATTAATTTTGCCATTATTATCTTTCTTTCTCCTACATTGTGTATCATCGCGCTGATATATGCATGTCATAAGTTCACTTCAATCCCCTTATTTGTGTCCATCATAGTTTCACCTCTAATTTGAATGCTACTCTCTGTGATTGTGGGTATGTTGATAATGTGTTGTACAATGTCATTTTGCTTGAGTGAAACTGCTTGAATGAATCTCACTTTCAACTGTCCCCTGGAAGCATTAGTGCGTGAGTTTTTTAGGCAGAGATTTAGATCCTATCCCTATAGGAATATTAAACTTGATTCTGAAGGTACTTCTGAAAACAGATTAATCTCGGTTAAGTAATTTTGTTCTACGGTGCTTTTTCTGTACTTCGAAACCTACATCACGTGTATAGTTGTTTGAGGCCCTCGTTGAGTTAGTCTTGAGTTTTTCATGTTATTGCTGTTGACAAGAGCGATACACATATTTCAGTCATAAACAGTCGTATGTTTGCCGTTATTAGATAGTCTCGTGAGTTTGCATGTCTCATGGAAGTTTCAGAATGCTATGCAGTAGGAAGCATTGATCGATTCTCGTAGTTTAGACCACAGTGAGTTGTTAACTACATCGGGTGTTTGGTTAACCAAATTTTTATTAGTATTGAATTTCAATGTTTCATCAGTTGATGTTTACAGTGTTCATGGTTTCATATTTGACACTACTTTCTGTATGGGCAAAACAATTTACAATAAAATCAATATTCTAAGTAAATGCAATAATCTTTTGCTTAGCCGCTTGAAGACCCAAACATGCGTTGTTTAAAAACAGTTTCCAGAATTTGCATACAAACTGTGATCTACGGCAAAAATCTGTTTGAACAAACTCTACGATGTGTTGTAAACACTTTTTTCACCAGGTGCTATATAATGTAATTCGCCGAAATGCTTTTTAATAATATTTCATCGAAGTATACACAGTATGATCTACTCCGTAGATTTTACCTCAGGTACTGAAAATAATTTTTAACACTCAGCAGTGCATTATATAAGGACTTTTACCACAAAGTGAATGATGATGTTCTCCAACTGAGACATAACATAATCTCTATTATAATCTCTATTGTTTCGGACATCATAGAATGATCAATTTACCTGGTGATCCACAAGAGCTACCTCTTGAACAAACAGTA